TTGTTCACTCTCTACACCAATGACATGCCGCGTGTCAAAGATGTAGAACTTGCTCTTTTTGCCGACGACACCTGTATTTATACCACAGGCAGAACACCCGAATTGATCCATCGACGCCTCCAAGCTGCGGCCATCACCATCGGTGACTGGTTTCGGCAATGGAGGATCGAAATCAATCCCGCCAAAAGCGCGGCAGTCCTTTTCGCGCATAAAAAGAACACACCCATTCCTCCCCCCGTTAAACTCTTGGACAGCCCAGTACCATGGGTTAACAAAGTCAAATATCTAGGCGTCGTCCTCGACTCCCAGCTTAAATTCACCCAGCACGTGACCCAGGTCAGGAACCGGGCGGCCTTCGTACTCGGTCGCCTCTACCCGCTCCTCAATAAAACGTCAAAAATGTCCCTTCGGAACAAGGTGACCTTATATAAGGCAGTAGTTCGCCCTATCATGACGTACGCGAGCCCCGTCTTCGCTCACATTGCTCCGAAGCAAATACACCGGCTTCAGGTGATTCAAAATCGATTCTTGCGCAGAGCCACGGGAGCACCCTGGTTCATGCGCAATATCGACCTACATGTCGACCTAGAATTGCCCACCATCGCGCAATTCCTGAAGTCGGCGTCGCGCCGATATTTCGATTCCGCCGCCGCGCATCCCAACCCACTTATCGTAGGTGCCGTCACCTACAGGCCCTTGCCGCTAAACATTTTCCGCCGCGATTACCGAAGACCGCGTCACGTTCTCGACTTCCCTGACGATGAGACGACTATCGCCATCGAAAGGATCAAAAAACTCAAGAAACACACCAACACACACCGCACTCGCCGGCGAGTGCGGCAAACATATACTAGGTTCCGCCACGTACCTGGCAGGTTTTCCCCTATCAATGATAGAAGCGTTGCTGGAGTTTCTTCCGCCACTTCTTCTCCCAGCGCCAACGCTCTCCGAAGTGGTAGTAATGTTAGCTCTAGGAATTCCCCCAGTCAGATAATAGCTACCGATCGAGCCGAGGTCCGGCCCTCTCGGGCACCCTCGAATCGGAATGCTAAACGCGTGCTGAGTGACAGTCCAAGCCGAGGTCCCCTCTCGGGGACCCTTGAGCCTGATCACTCCATGGAGCGCCCGCCAAAGCGCCCTAAGAGCTTGGCGGCCTCCCAAACCGGTAACAATAATAGCGTGACGGCCCGAGCCGAGGCTCCCCCGGGAGCCCTCGAGCTTAGTCACCATAACGCGTAATAATAGTACGCCGAGGTTCAGGCTAGGCGCCTCGTGCGCCAGGCCACCTCAAGTCCGTCGGATCTGTGAAGGCCCCTAAGGCCAACAGTGGCTCATCCAGCCAAAAAAAAAAAAAAAAATCCTCAGCCGCCTGCATCCATCGACTTCCTGCCCATTTACGCAGGCCATCAATCCATTTAAAGTGGTCGTTTCAACGTAACTGATCACAAAGACGAAACCCGTGATCTCGGACGTGTCCGCAAAACCGTCATATGGACAATTAACGCGGTATCGCAATATCGCCTGCGCAGCGGATTTCTCACGACCCACTCGGCTTGCGAAACTCGAGCTGAACCACATGGCCGGTAGGAATTTCGCATCGTCGGCCCAATCGCGCCGGGTTCCGATCCGCTGACTTCGCGTATGCAGTGGCACCTTGTCGGTCGCTAATTGCAACGGGGTAAACAGAGGTGACAATGTCCGATGAATCTAAACTCGAATACAACACACAACAACCAAGAAGCGTTGACAATCCAATGAAGGGATTAGAAGAATCAGGTGGATCGCCGTAACTCTTCAAATATATATAAATAGTAAAACAACAGTAAATATATATATTATTAGAAAAAATCGACTCGTAACATAAGCTTAGTTTTTTTGCGTGCGATACCAGAGCCTCAATATCGCAAGCGGCAATGTAAAAAGAAAACTTTTTACTACTAATAGTAGCGTGAAGAGACGTATATTTAATAACATATAACATTTAAGTTTTTTTTTTTTTTTTTTTTTTTTATGCGAAAAGTTGTCAAGCGAGCAGACGGTTCACCTGATGTTAAGTGAATACCGCCGCCCATGGACATCTGCTACACTCGAGGGTTACAGATGCGTTGACAACCTTTTGAAAATTGGGCTCCGGCCACCTCGCTCACCAGACGAAACGCGAAAGTATTTGTCATACTTCCACTTTACGCCGGTCTTCTGTGAGGTCGTGGTACTTACCCGGACGGGCCTGCCCATTTGTGCAACAGCCGAGGCTGCTGCGTGGCCCTACCACCGTAGAAACCGTAAGTAAACAGTATGGTATCTATGGTGATAATTTAATGTAGTAATTCACTCCAGTCTATTTTATTTTAAAATAATTGTTTGTGATATTTAAATGTAAATTATTATTGTTTAAGACTGCACACCGTGATCGTATCCAAAATTAATAAATAAGTAATTTCCCAATTCCGGGTCAAAATACGCTCATATTATGTTTTCTTGGTTTTTACAAAGCATAATGTAGAGGTCTTAATTTTTATTACATGGTATTAAGCAGCGAACTTTTGAATAGAGAAAAATGAAAAGCATATCAGTAAATATTGCCCAAGAAATTTGGTTACAAAACTCTTTACCTGTGGAAAATTTACGTTTCGTTTTAAAATCGGTATTTATACAAGAATCCAATCCAACTTACTAAAAGAACTAAGTACTAATCAGTCTAGCACCGCTGAATATAGCCTTCTCGGTCTAACCTGCCTTTCCGTAGGTAGTAATTATTATACATTATAGTAGCAGTTCCCAAAGCATTTCAAAAGTACAGGAGACTACTAACACGCCCTCTATGACTGGGTAACTTTTGAAGACCATACGAAACCAAAAAAAGGTATTAATTATTTCAAAACAAAACCACGTAAGCGGAACAACCTCCACGCAAACTCATTTAAGCACTGTATCTAAATAAAACCGTTTAAAAACTTTTAAGTTAAACGGTTTTATTTTATGTGCACTGAAAACTACAATATTGTATTGTCATCTAAATTAAATGTGTGTACCAAATTTCAGATCAATCTGACAACGGGAAGGTGCTTAAATTTCAATTTCTAATTTTGACCCAAATAAATAAACAAATTCCGTACGGGTCGAGCTAAATAAAACCGTTTAATAAAGCAACTGCAACTGTCTCTATAAACACAACACTAAAGCGACGTCATAATCAATGCACGCACGTACATGCGCGGCCCTACCCACAGAGGAGAGCATCAAACCCGTGGGTTCTAGCTAGTTCACCGGTTCTGCGTTCGATGAAGCTTTAATAGTCTAAAGACTGAAAGCATGACATCAGTTATAGAAAAATACTAAGGCGATGTCGCTCGAACAAGACCTCTCGCAGACGTCACTAAAAGATTAAAAGTTGCGCTGACCACCGGATGAGCGCACGCGGCTCCTAAGTGCACTTCCTCCTAGCTGAGACACTCAAGACACTTACCGGTCCTCTCTAAGCCCACTCGTCACGGACGCGGCTCCCAGTCCTTAAGCCGGGACTGTTTTCATTGCGGAAATTCTTGCATTATCTTTTAGAGACATTTGTAATTTTATGAATATCCCCAGTTATTCTTTCGCCGCTGATGTTTGTAGTGCTGATAGTAGACAGTTGTATCAACCCATTTTATCTCGTAAGAGCTTTGTGTTAAATAAACTAAAGAGTCATTGCGGAACCCACGTACTTGGTTCAGATCGTCTGACAGGTCTAGTTTCTTTGCTCGATTACCTAATTCATAATTATATATAGGCTGTAAACAGTCTTTTTAGTGAGGGTTTCCGATAGGGTAAGTCTTTGTCTGCTTTTTTTCATAACAACGATTGTCTTATTGTAATAAAAACGAGCAGACGGTTCATTTTACGTGTATTTTACCTCTTGGTAACAGTTTCGAGGCCAATTTTTAACAGCTTCAGCCCCCTTTTACTTTATTAAATAAAGGAAGTGCAAAAGCATTTACACTCCTACGTTACGTCTGTCCTTGCGAGTATTGATTCAGCTAATGTAACAAATTAAAAATATTTTGCAGATATATTGGAAAGAAGTTTCTTATCGCGCGTTATGAAGGACGGAAAAAATTTTTCGGACACTTTTTGCTATAGTAAGCTATTGTAAGCTGTGCGGCGTGCGCATGTTTCTCTGTCTGTTGTTTGTCTGTCAGACAGACAAACATGACAGTTTCTAGAGGAAGAATTTGATTTAAGAATTAACAATAATCCAGCAGAATCAACAACAAAATATAATACTACCATTGATGCAGTTTTTGCAAGACATTTAAATAAAATATAATCCGAAACATATGTTTCCTACTTAAGTTACCACAAGCCAATTATTACCTACTGATTAAGTTTATATTACATTATATTTGTTAATAATAAAAAAAAAATATTATTATAACTTAAAAGAAATAAAATTTATTACAATTCCTTCACTAATTAATCGAAAGGAACTTCATTCCATCCGGGTGTCCTTTGACACCTCTCAATGTTTTTTTAAACTATATCGTTAACCTGTTATCTAGTCGCAAACGAAGCAAAGATAGAACTTATGGTACTAAGTACCTGACAACATATTTTATTTTGTAAATTATTACACATTACCGATACATATACTTTGATATTATTCTTACTGGTGCTTCGTACGGCCGTCTCATCATAGGTGTCTCGAAAAATTATTGTTGCGAATTGTTTCGTCGCTGGTTACGTAAGCGCCACCGGGTGTCGAAGCACCCGAGGAGAGGAGATCTCGGAGACTCGCCGTTGACGGCATCTTCGTGTTCCCGAACGATGCGAAAGAAACAGATTCAACGTGGGTTATTTAGCGGATATATCTGACTGGGAACCACGCCATTTCCGAACAATTCGAAAGAGACTGGTGCAACGTGGGCTATTTAGCGTGTCCATATTGGGATTCCTACCCCCGCCACTCGCTGGAGCCGTTGACAGGGATCCATAAAGAATCTCACGAAGAAAAGATCAAATTAAAAAGGCACTCGAGAGCCAGTCGCAAAATCGAGCGGTGCGCGTGACGCGGAAATTTTCCGAGCGGTTCGCACGGCGCGCTGGTGACCTCCGGCGGGCGACGACCTTAGCGTGGCCGTGACGGGTTTCCGTTCGGTCGCCCCGCGCCGACGCCGTTTTCCGATCGTTGGTTCGGCGCGTGCAACTCGTTTGTCGACACAGGACACGCCAGCCCGATAGTCCTGGACCACAAGCACAAACCGCTCTAGACTTAACCGTCGGGTGATTATCCGTCAAACTTCCTACGCGATAGGCGTAGACACGTATTGGGCAGACCCAACTCACTAGTCCTGGACATATTAGACCGCAAGGGTCGACTCGTAAACCTCCCACGTCACAGCCCTACAAGAACACGGGCAAACAAAACAGAACGAAAATGCTTGTTTGCTTTTTAAAAACCAAATGTTTGGGATAAAGATTGCAAAAGCATTAGATAAGTTATGTAACTATTCTTCAATCTTTGTTTAACCGAGCTTATCAAGGCTGAAAATGTATAGTATGAAAATATGTACCTTATAATGTGTGCCTTTCCTGCCATTTCTCTCTACCATCGTCATGCCAATTTCACTTCTTTATCACAACTTCCTTTTCTTAGTTTGTCATCATTGTCGTGTCGATATTATCGGTAGGAAGATTCGTCGCACGGAAGCCTTCAAAATCGTCCATTGAACTCTAGCAGAACTCGGCTTGTGCCATATTAATTAGCCTATTACAATGGACGGTGCGTTCACCTCAACGTGCGTCTAGCTAATCGTTTGACCCTGACGAGGTCGTACACCATGGTTTTTTTTCCGGTGTTTTTCATCGTGGCCTCCGAGCGTTATTGTTGTCAAGAGGTAGAAGTTACGGACGGATTCCTTGGCCTCTCGTTACCGTGTTGATTGCACGGATAGCGCATTGGTTAAATGGCCACCTTGCTTACTGCCTTTGCGCGCATTGTAAGTCCATTCCATACTGAACCATTTGTGTTTCGCTGTTTATTCTTACTTAGGATGTACTTGGCATTCATGTTAAACCTATAATAGGGACTTCACCGCATTGATGAATTCTTTCTAAGAAGACAAATAAAAAGTAATGAATGGAGAAAAAGGAACGAAGAAGCAATTGCGACCCTGTATGGCTCAGTAGCGCAGACGCTTAGCTATCTGCTTCGGCGCTGCGGTACATGGGTTCGATTCCCGTATGGAACAAATACTTGTGCGACCCACATATGATTATCGTGGTTATGGTTTGGTTGGTTCCGAAGGAGTGTGACGGGCTACCGGTGGGAAATTTCAACCAATATCACTGACAAACTAATACTTACCGATCCTACCAAAGTGAAAGGGGAAGGGAATGATAATATCCTATGGAAATGTTATCAACTCTTGACAAGTTTAAAACAAACATTTTCTTACATTTGGATTATTATTCTTCTATCCCATTTGGAACAAATAGTGTAATAGCCTGTTTTGATATCTGTATTTTCCTGTATGTCTTTGCTTTCATATATGTATTTAGCACACATTAATAATTGTCGCTGTGGAAGGTCATACCGATGTTGTGATGACGTCACAATTACTAAGCTATTTCCTGGCAGTTATCTTGCATGTTGTATAGATGTACAATATTAATTATTGTTCCTTGTTCAGCAGTTTCTCAAAATAGTTTAACGTTTCTGAATCTTTTTCACTAATTAAAATTAACTTTATACTTTTAGAAGATACGCTACATTTCATATGCTAAGCTATGCATTATTTAGGCAGTAATATTACCTAAACTGTGAAATAAATAATACTTAAACGTGTACATACAATCGCCCCCTTTACAAAATTAAAATGAGCAAAATAGTTTTATATAATACGTAACTCGTAAGCGTGAATTGGTTGTGGTTAATTTTTTGCATTTTTTCTCAAAAATTGGCATTCCGTTATACCGGACGCTGCTTACGAGTATTTTACAAGAAATCAAGCAACTTTGAAATTCCTTAATGTATCACGTATTTATTGATTTGTTTTCATTAAATCGAAACTAACGTTAGTACAAACAAGGTTTGAGTATAACATGTTACGCAAATATATTCTCACATCCTATTGCTGATTTGCAATTTAATGAACTAATTAAACTAACATAATGATTTCCATTAATCGAGGATTTAACGTTTGAAATTTTTTAGATACGTCCTATTTTCGAAAAGGGCGTTCAGCACCGTCGTCTAGTACATAAAAGTCCTCATTCAGAGACCGTTATTGACGCGGGCCGGCACTACATATGAACGTGCATGACGTAACCACGCACTTACGAGCGATAGTCCTCCGGGGTGCTTGATAACGCTGTATCGGAGACGAGAAACGGACCGATCCAACGCAAGTCTCGCCGCGGTAATAACGCGATAAAACTTTATGGGCCATCCTCGAACCGCGGACCGCCGTTATGACGTCACCAGACGGACTAAGCAATGCAAAGTGCGGATTACATCACCCGTGAAAGGGCATCGCTATGTAACAGGATTTGTAAGGCTCACAATAGCCTTTCTACTCAACGATTTCTTGTTTTTATTTCAGTTAAAGAAGGTTACGCGTCTCATTAAATATGAATACCACAATAAGTAAAAATTTACAGTAGGTACAAAAGCAAAGTATAGTATCAGCCTATACAGGGTGGCTTTTCTAAGTGTATCCATTTTTTTTATTAAATTCTAGACATAAATAATGTTATATAAAAAATGATAAATATTTAATCAGTCGTAATTAATTAATTAAATTCATTTGAACTTATCTCAAAAAGAATACCTAGATAGAATACACATATCTTCGAAATATTAATTTTGTTATTATTTCCAAAAGGTGCAGGTTTCTCAAAGTGTTTTCGTTCGCCGCTGAGCACGTGATAAGTCAGCACTTAAAATTAACAAATTCATTGGTGCCGGTAAACGGATTTGAACTCCACTTACTCGAGTAAATTGACTTTAATGCGAGCGTCTGTACGCTGAGCTGTCACGACTAATTTACAAAAATATGATAAATAACAAAATATGATAAATAACAGTTAATGCTAAATACTTGTAAATCGCTTTAGTTTTGAATATTACACGCTAATTCTGAACAGCGGGTCCTGAAACTCCAATGAAATAAACGCATTATTCAATTTGTGATAATAACCTATAAATATATAAGTGTAGACGGTAAAATAACCTGAATATAACAAAATTTCTTTAATTAAAATAATAAAGCAGCCTTGAAATATTATTTATAATGTTTCCATTAAAAATAAATTTAGCCATGTGTCGAAAAACGCGAAAACAGAATAAGACTCGTATTATATATTTTAACATTGAATCTTTTATACCTTGAAAATATACAGAATGAAACCTTTCGCGCGTCACTGCTCCCCTCTCACCTACATTCTGTTATTTATTTCACTCGTCTTCGCCTACATCGAACAAAAGAGATAGGAAAAACTATTATAAGCTCAAGAAAAACATACATGTGGCCCAAATCACGAGAAAAGGCCGACCTTACTTATTTTCGCATGACATTTTTTGTACGTAAAGCAATAATCAATGATATTTTATACTATAGATATGTTGTTAACGAGCTAAAGTGGCGATGGGACGTTTTCATGGCAAGCAAAGAAAGAGGCAGCAAATAAGTTTACTAATTATTTTTAAAAAATACGGGGACGATAAAGACCGATGCACCTCGAGATTTAAAGCTATAGTAACAAACACTTGCCTTCCACTTTTTCTTATTGCTTTAATTACTCTATCCGTTTTATAACCTTCGAACGAAACGTGAACGCGTGGTATCACTCAGTTTGAAAATGGGAACACTCAACCGGTGATTTTGCATATGCATATAATACATCTATGCATACAAAATATAATTGCTCGTAAAATATTATTGGCGCTAATGAATATTTAGAATTTATTTACTTTTAGAAATTATATTCATTGTAAAACACTGTCCGTCTTAGTCACCCTTCCAAAAAATGATAACGTAACAAAATTTAAACCAAACCCTGAGTAATATTTTATTACCACAAACAAGATTATAAAAATTACCATTTTTATGTTATCATAACTTTATGTTCCAATGTTTTAATAAGGACAATAAAGAGTCGCTGATATGCTTTTCGATAAACAATATAAAAAGTCAATTGAATTTCAATCATCTTACCTGATGGTAATCGATCAGTCCATAGACACTGCCTAACTTTAGACAGTGCAAGCTCTACTATGGATTACAGGCTACATTATTATCATTACTAGACACAATCTGAATGTTAATAGTATAACGTTTCGTTCTTCACTTGCACCTCGTCGGTTGGTCGGCGGAAAAGTCCCCTGGCTTACCTCGGGGGCTTTATCTCTTCGGGGGTCGACGGGGCCAGTTTCGCCTGTTTTGATTTGTAGCCGCGCCATGGGACTGACGCTGGAAGGCTTCCGATTGGACCCAACGTAAGGGAATGCCAAATAAATTCGAAACTTTTCCCGTGCGATCATCAAAGAGGCCGAGTTCGTGACATTGGGGGATTTCTCGGGATTAGTTGGAGTTATCTTTAAAGGCATCCAACTGATTGTCAAACGTCTCTTTATTGCCGTTTTATATTACTTTGTTTTGGCTACCCGATTGGCCTAGTGGGTAGTAGCTGCCTCTTGCGCCAGTGGCTGCGGGTTCGATCCCACTATTGGAAGATTATTGTATGATGAATATAGTAGTATTTTCCAGTGTCCGGGTGTATACATGTGATTATTTACAAAAGAAAGTATATTATCATACATTTATTGTAATATTTCGTATACATATACGTCATAAAAATATGTAGAAAAAGTACGAAAAGATTGGCGCCGCTGTGGGAATCGAACCCACGTCTTCCGCATCCATTGTTATATCCTTTCATATGGATGCGCCAAGCATTGCTTCAAATGCAAAAAACCAATGTAGATAAAGGACGTTAAGATTTTCGTCGGTGTGGCAATCAGCCGTTTAGCTTAGTGGTTAAAGCGTCAGGCCGCGAATGCCGAATACGTGGGTTCGATTCCCATAGCGGCGACAATCTTTTCGTACTTTTTCTACATATTTTAATGTTCAATAGTAAGTGCAAAGATTATCACTATAAACAATTTAAATTTATACGTCATGACCTTAATTATTACCTAAAGAATAGTGACAGACATAAAATAAACACTAGAAATAAGGACAAACTTACTACGCCATTGTTTCGTCTACAAAAAGTAAATAGGTCGTTCATGGGGCAAAATGTGTGCATGTATAATAAAATTCCACAGTCGATATTAAGTCTGCCGCTTGACCAATTTAAACGTAAAATTAGAAGTTAACTTATGGTTAAAGCATATTATACCATTACTGAATATCTAGACGACACCAATGTGTGGAGTTAGTACTGTTGATACTCACGTAGGCTAGAATAAGATTATTATACCTGTATGTTATATTGTAAACTGATACTTTTGAAAAAGAGCAAGTGTTGAGTTTCTTGCCGGTTTTTTCTCAACAGAAACTGCTTTCCGAACCGGTAGTACCTTACGAACCCTATATACATAATTTTTGATATAAAATTTGACGATTCATAAGAGCGCGCAAGCGCCTATTTGAATAAATAAAATGTTGATTTGATTTGATTTGATCAGATCTGGTACCAATAATACAATCGTTAATATTGTAATAGAGAAGTAACGAAATTATAAGCCTTGGCTTTTACTGTTGCATTATAAGTATTTGATAACAATGCTCTAGCAAAAAATAATAACAGTATAAGTATTTTCATGTAAGGTTACAAACGAGCAGAAGGCTCACCTGTTGGAAAGTGATAACATCTGCCCATGAAAATCTGGAGTGCTTGCAAATGCGTTGTAATGCAGGGAATTATGTATATTGTACTGTAAAAAAGTTGTAATTCGGTCAAATGTCACAAGTGTCGAAAAATAAATTGCCATTAAATTTGTAGTAATTGAAATTTTGATTACGAGTCTTGGTCGTACAAAATTTTCGATTTCAATATTTCCGATTTCAACACGGAAATTGAACGAGTTGCGTCCAGTAAGCTCGTATAAGCACTGTACGGCTGAAATGTCGCCACCCGTCGTGTTAAAGACCCGTAAAGATGATTTAGAATGAAAAATCGAGTAGAAAAATCCTCTTAAGAGGAGTGTCTCTATTAATGTAACCTCATACAGATTTTTAGTGGTATTAGTGTATAAATTATTGAAAATTTTTGCCGCTGCTAGAATTCGAACCAGTACCATCCGGGTCGGTATCATCACCGCACGAAAAACGACACTTTATCTATCGTTTATTTTTATTTCTTCTTTGGCAATGCTTGACGGCAACGAATATGAAGTACATGAGATAAACAGCATGTACATGACAGTATGTATATGACAGGATGTGCATGACAGCGAACACAAAGAGTTGAAAACATTAGCCAATGCATTTTAATCTAGCCATGTTTATGGGCAATGTGTATTCGCCATTTCATCTTTAGCAATGCTTGGCGCCAATTAAAATGAAGTACATGAGATGGGCAGCATGTACATGACAGTATGTACATGACAACATGTACATGACAACATGTACATGACAACATGTACATGACAGGATGTGCATGACAGCGAATACAAAGAGTTGAAAATATTAGCCAATCCATTTTAATCTAGCCATGTTTATGGACGAAGTGCATTCGCCTCAGTAATTCTCCTCGACTCAATTGGTGTAAGTAGAAAACGTAACTCAGCAAGACATTTGGGATAGCGTGACGCATCTATTCGAGTGAAATAGGGACGAGATACCGCCCGCATCTACGCCAGCCGTTACAAGGCCACTCTGTGACTTTTCCAAGGGCGATGGCAACACGTAACCTTGTTCAAAATCATACAGAACAAGCTTCTTTGTTGGAGATAGTTTGTTAACTAATAGTTTTCGAGATAGAACTACGATAATACCTACGGGTTGACATGTTACTAAATGAAGCCATGTTTACGGATTTATTGCGTTTATTTTTAGTCTGTCCGTACGTCGGGTATTAAAACATTTAACATTAATTAGTAAGGTGTAAATCGCGTAAATATAAGAAATTATTATTGGTTGCCATGTTTCGGCTAAATCAATGTTGTGATCGCAAAATATAATTATACTTTAATTTAACCATGTACTACAATCTAGGTTTCATTTTGTGCATTGTAATTCATTCTCTATTTACGTAAAATTTACTTCCGCCCGCCCTTTTTATTTTAAATTGACTAACTAGTCTAAGGTACGTACTTTGTTTAAATAATATAATGAATGAAACCGGCGTTTTCAGTTTGCATGTGAAACTTGTTTCGAAATTTGCAATCACATATAAGCTAACATGGCAAAGAACGAAACAATTTGTTTCCTTTTCTACTGAGTATACCTTCTTCACCGCACTTATATATTATATACAGTTCACTTCACAAAATATCTTGTTACAACTCTCAAGGAGATCCCATGGACCGTTGATAAATGTTTAGAAACGAAGGGGGAGTCAACTTGAGCGATTGCTCGGTTGACATTACGTATCAGGATGCGCGCTCGGATCAAAATAAAGCACACAGTGCTCACGTAAAATATAGTTATACCGCTCATACGCTTGCAGACGAAACGTGCTCCGTAAACGGGAACGGTTAGGATACAGTTGAGTGATTGCCTCTCCTTGACATTGCGCAATAGCGCAAGTTCTTTTTTTTTTTGAAGATTTTATGGCCTAGTAACGAGGCCTTTAAGCCAAATAGCACGAGTGTACGCGGGCTCCGTTCTGTTACATCTAATGTTCTATCGTTTTTTTTTTTTTACGATTGAATGAACAATGTCTGATAAAACAATAATTTGCTTACTTCGGTTAACTAACATTTTATTCTAATGTATCAATTTATTTCCATGTTAATTTGAGAATGTTTATTTTGTATTCCTTACTATTGATGTTGTCTTAACTGTACTATACGTCTCATACTACGGAACAGGCATCAGAAATTATTATCCTTGGTTCATAGGTTTAAATGTACAATGTAATATAATTAAAATAACTTTCTTTAAAACGGCGTTAAAATAGGGTAACATTATTCTGTTTTGTAAGATCGTTTTAAATATTAACATTTCACGTGAGTAACCATTTGGCACGGTATATTAACTAACACAAAAATACTAGTCCCGTATAGGAATCGAAGCAATGACCTCCGTTGCTGAAACCAATACCGTAGCAACTGCGCAGTCGTCAACAATTTGTCGGGCTCTCGTTTTGTCAAAAATGCCTTTTTTATTTCAGTATGCATAAGCAGTGCTCAAAATTCGTGCAACCGCAAAATGGCATTATTGAGATTTACGACTTTCATGGTCGTGGAAGATAGCATTTCGAAGGAACGCCATCTGGCTGCCTTTGACTCAATGGAAAGACTTGCGGAAAGGCTTATTGGTGACCGTAACTTGGTTAAAATCATCCTTACTAGCCTTGAGCACAGGCGCAGAGTAGCCAGCCTCTCGGTCTTCTACAGGATGCATTTTAGAGAGTGTGTGTTGGAGTTGCATGATTTGATTCCTCCTGCCCCTTTCCATCATCGGACAACTAGGCGTTCTGCGAGACTCCACCCTTATGCTGTCGACGTTCCCAGACCAAGAACCAAGCGATTTGTTTCGTCATTCATCATCCGTACAGCTATGGAATGGAACAACCTGCCGGCGTCCGTCTTTCCGTCCGATTACAACGTAGGCAAGTCTTCAAGGCAAGAGTGAATAGGTTTCTACTGAGCTAGCGCACTTATCATCAAAGGCCCCATCGCCACTTACCATCAGGTGGGATGATTGTCAAGTGCTGGCCAGTTCTAAATAAAAGAACGCTAAAGGGATAACTGAGAAATATGATATAAACAGTACGCACGGGGGCCGTGTGGTGGACTATGGTCTAATACTCTCATCTGTCCAGAAGGAGCCTTCACGTTACTGTGGGACATAAATATAGATAAGGATTGCTTTACTACTATAATGCACCCAGAAATGTATCTTCATATTATTCGTGTCGATGGATAACTTTTTTTTATGTGAGAAGCTGACAAGCGAGCTGGCGAATTGCAAATGCGTTGCCACCTTTTACAAAAGACGGCCCCGGCTACCTCACTCACCAGACGAAACGCAGAAGTGTAAACTTCTACTTCACGCCGGTCTTCTGTGAGATCGTGGTAGTTACCCGCATGGACCTGCCCATTCGTGCAACAGCCGAATGTAGTCTCCTAAAGCCTGTAATCCCGCCCCAGTACGAATGAATGTTTATAATTAGTTTTCCGATAGACAGCTTTTAGCTTTGACGTCGAAATTTATGACGTTAAGCCGTGACGCATAGGCAGAGGGATAAATTGTAAACCACTAAATTTTCCATTTGACATGACACTAACAGGAATGGAAGCAGTATGAATTTTTAATAATATTTCCAACGACGAATTATGCGGTCAACATTTTTGGGAAAGCACGTTCTTTGACCTTGCGAAATAAGGGGAATAATCCACGTAAATCGTCGTAAGAATACTAAAGAAATTTTTAT